GCTCAGATTAAGGCAAGGAAGAGAACCCATATTGACTTGTAGTCACTTATGAGAAAACAATCGCAAATCTCCAGTTTAAAGCATTGAAAAACTTATTAAATCTGGGAAGACTAATCCATTTATTTGCAAGGATACCTTCTCTCATTCATTCACATATCAGATAAATCATCTTTTATCTATAAAGTACAAACATCAGATACCCCAATGGGAACAAAATGCTAAATGGGGGACAAAATACATACTACACAAATTTTTTAAAATAAGTTTTTATTGTGATGTTTACATGGAAGAATATCAGTTTTATATTAATCCTATCATATTTTGTTTCATTGCAATGATTACAATCCCCTCCATGCATCCAAGGGCTCTTTACATTGAAATGTAATCCATACTGAAGGTTGTGCTCTTTGATCTTCATTAGTAAATATTTTATATCATCAAAGGGCACATTCTGCAAGTCAGCCTCCTGGCCACCAGCTCTCAGTTCCTCTCTTCCCATGAATCTTGAGTCCTCAGCTGATCCTTCTTTCCATGTCTCCATCTCTGGTGTTGCTAATTCTCTGGATAAGGTCCTGCATTCCTCTTGTGCTCTTCTCCCTTGATGGTCCTAGGGTTCTTTGTTCTGGACTGTAAGATTAACTACTTCCCCATATTTGTTACAAAACTTCTACCTTTACAATTGTGACAGTTGTAATTAGTCACAATAACAATTACGCACTATTGAATCATAAGAAGCTTATATCCATCTCTTTTTACCAGACTCATCTAGACAAGATGAAAACTATTCAGTGGGGACTCTATCTTCCCTCACACACTCTTAAACTAAACTTCCTCTTGAAACCTTGTAATGGTCACTTGGTGCCTTTATTGCCCCTCAATTTAGATAGCCAATGTCTAAGTTGCCTGTCCCTATCCACCCTGTGTACAGAGGGGATAGCATTGGTACTTGATGTGAAGACTCCCTCCCTCTCTGTTGGTTTAGAGTTCATCAAATTGTAGCAATTTACCCTCATTTCCTTCATCAATTTTTTTTTTTTTTTGGTAATCGTCCTCTAGTCGAGTTGTGAGCATCAAGCCGTCGAGGCTAGGTCAAATAAGTACTGTCTGCAAGTTTGGGTGTTCTTGTGCATCTCCCCTCACTTCATATCAGCTGGATGCTTCACTCTCAGCTCTAGCCCTCTGTGGCTATGTTCTTGTCCATGGGCTCAGGTGTCCCCAGGTCTCACCACACTTTGCACCAACTAGCCTTTCCTCTTATCTCACTCATCTCTAGGTCAACAGGAGTCAACAGAACGTGGTTGAACTCAGCCAATTTCTTCATTGCTGCCTTTCCCCCTTTTCCACACAACAGTAGCTCAATGTGGTCATCAGCAAGCTTACATGCCTGCTTATGTGTTCCCTTTGAGTTTCAGTCTTAGAGGGGGGTTTGTCCTGAGGGAACTTGATTGCTTGCCTTGATGGCTTCCTGGTGAACAACTTGCTTATTCTTGTAACTAGTCATACTAACATTTTAGTTTTGTTTTTTTCCTGCAGATCTTTCTTTGAAGATGTATCTTCTGTGGCTGTAGCTCTTCTAGGCTGGTCTGCTTGTTCTTTCTAGTGGGAATGTCCCACCTCAGAAGGTTCTGGATGGGACTCAGGATTCCACCAAAGGTACTATACAATGCAAAGGCTGTGCAGGAGGCCTATTTCACTGGGGAAGTTCTAGAACCCCTTTTAGGTCTTCCAATCACTTATAGGCTGAAGACAGGCTTACATGCTTTCTGTAATCATGTTTCTTGACATTCCTTTCTATCCTACTCAAGTTTCCATTTTACAACAGTAGGCAAGGGAAAGCAATATTCATAAGACAGTCAAGCATCTTAGTATTATTTCCCCTCTTTCACTATGCCTAGATCCCTGTATCACACAGCCCTGTTGTTCCAAGTTTGAGCATGCATCACTATTTACCTCTGTCCCATTTCACCCATGCAAACCTGTCTCAGTGTTCCCCTATCTACCTTGTTCTTCCATCCCCTTCCCCTTCTTGTATATTGCTTTCCCCAACACCCAAACTATGATGTGTCTGCCCCCTACCCTGTGCTCTACCATCACCTCGCTCAACCTCCCCCAAACCCCTCACTCCACCCTCACTGGTAACCAACAAAGACATTTTCTTTCCCCTTTAGTAAGCTTTTACAGTAATGGTCTTGTGCAATATTTGACCTTTGTGACTGACCTATTTAACTCAGCATAATGTCCTCAAGGTTCATCTATGTTATGCAGTGGCTTGCAGCTTCCTTGTTATTCTTTAAGGTAGCATCATATTACATGAATGAGTCTTGAGAACATCATTTTAAAATTTTGTGATATAGATAACATTTTCCTTATTTCACAACTGAAGTAAGTCTGTCTCAAAAGGACATATATTTTATATGACAAGTAAAACAATTACTGTGAATAGGGTTTCAGCTCATACATTCATGGGTTTATTAAACAATGTGTTTAAATATGTCTTTGTGATCAATGGATGGTTTGTTGTTGTTGTTAGGTGCCATTGTGTCGGTACTGACTCATAGCGAACCTGTGCACAACAGAATGAAACACTGTCCAGTCCTGGGCCAACCTCACAGTTATTACCACACTTGAGCCCATTGATGTTGCCACTTTGCTATTCCATCTCACTGGGGCCTTCCTCTTTCTCTCTGGTCCTTCACCATACCAAACATGATGTCCTTCTCCAGTGACTGGTCCTTCCTAACAATATGTCTGAAGTATTGGCCATCCTCGTCTCCAAGGAGCACTATGGCTTCACTTCTTCCAACACAGATCTGTTTGTTCTTTTGGCAGCCCATGGCTCTTTCAATATTTTCCTCCAACATCATAACTCAAATGCATCAATTCTTCTATGATCTCCCTTATTCACTGTCCAAGTTTTGGTTGCTTCTGGTGCACCAGGGCACTGGAGACCCACAATTCTTCATCCTTTTGTACAGTTTTGACACTAGGTCTGATTCTTTAGCCTTTGATGTTCAGGTTAAAAACTGTCTTCTCTATCTGATTCATTTACTTTCTTGGGTCTTGGGTTGTAAGAGGAACATTATGAACTGTTTGACTATGCTGCCATCTTGGACTATCTCCTTTTTAAAAAAAATTAAATTAATTTTATTTTTGTTTAGAATATAAACAGTGAAATTTACTAATCCAATAGTTTCTACATGTGAAGTTCAGTGATATTGATTATATTTTTTGTGTTGTGAAACATCTCTCATCTCTCATCTTTCTTTTCTGAGTTCGCTCTCCATGTACATAAACTCACTGCCTCCTAAGGTCTCTATTTAAACTTCCAAATTGCTGCTGTCAATTTTATTCCATATAGATATATCTTAAAGCGCATAATGCTCAAGGCAGACATTTTTCACTAGCTGATCTAAACTATTTTTGGTTTTATGAAGACTTCAGGGGACATTGCTATTTAAGGTTTAGAGATTATCTCAGGGTTCAGCCAGTCTCTATGGCTCCAGAAAGTCTGGATTTTATGGGAATTTGAAATTATGTTCTTCATGTTTCCTCTTCTGATCAACATTCTTTTATAAAAGTTTTGATCAAAATGTTCAATAATGATAGCTGGGCACCACCTAGTTCTTCTGGCCTCATGGCAAAGGGGACAGCAGTTTTTGGTGGCAATTAACCACGCATCCATTGTCTTTCTTATTCTTGACGCTCCTTATTCCAGTGTTGTTACAGATGAATAGAAACAAATTACTTTGCCTTGGATGGTCACTTGGAGGCACTATGCAAAAAAAACCTGGGAGGTAGAACTTAACCAAAAACATAGACCAATTATCTTGGATATTCTCTAAACCATGACTCAAAACCTGCAAACCAAGGAACTGAATCCCATGAGGTATTCGGCTGTACAAAAGTAGCCTCTGCAGCTACTTTTTTTCTTTCTTAAAATATATCTATCACACATCTTTTGTCATTCAACTTTTATATGTTTGCAACTTATTTACAACAGTTACAGTAATCATCTTTGCTGTTGTTGTTAAGTGCCTTCGAGTCAGTTCCAACTCATAGTTACCCTGTATAGGGTTTTCGAGGAGCAGTTGGTGAGCTTGAACCACTCACCTTGTGGTTCAAACTGACACTGCAGTCCAGTACACTAACCCACAGAGCCAGGACATCTGTGTTATTGTATCCTTAATCTATGTAATTTTTCTATAAGCAATAACTTCCTCCTTCCTATACTGCTGCTAATCGTTAATAAACTTTGGTCTGTACACACTTGTCTTTTTGGATAAGTGAAGTCATACAGTATTTGTTCTTTTGTAATTGACTTAGTTCCTTCAACATAATGTCTTCAAGCTCCATTAATACTATACATTGTTCTTACGAGTTGAGTAGTATTCCATTGTACGTATGTATCACATTTTTGCTGTCTTGCGACGTATTTTAGATATAGGAATAGGTCTGCTCTGTTTTATTGTCAAAGGTATATTCCCCATCAAAATAAATTTGATAATATCTCTTCCCTTTAAAAAAAAAAAAAAAAAACTTCCTTTAGCTCAATAATGCCCAGCTAACTCCTTAATGTGCAATAAAACATCTTTATGATCAGATCTCTGCCTTTCATTCTGAATTTACATCCTCCTGCTCTTGCACCAAAAGCTATGTTTTATCTCTCAAATTATTCCTCTCAAGTTAAATGTTTCCTGGAACTCAGAATAAAGTTACTTGTCTCATATCTTTTCTATACAATCTCACTTTTCCTTTGTAATAGCATTAAGTAAGTGTAATTATAATTTGTTTCTGCATTCCTCTATGATACTAGATAGGGTTGCTATGAGTTGGAATTGATTTCATGACATTGAGTTTTGTTTTATTTTTGAGGTTCTAGAAATTAGGAACTACATTTCTCAAAGCTGAGCCTATCACTTGAAACAGAATAGACACTTGATATATACTTATGAAAATACTTACATCTTAAGATTTTATTAGTTAAAAATAATAAATTCAGATCATTTAAACTTTACAATCTTATTTACTGTGTTCTTGAAGGCTTGTTTTACCTGTTGATTCCTTAGGGTGTAAATAAAGGGGTTCAACAAGGGGCTAACTGAGGTCATGAGTAGAGATATTTCTTTGTCAAAGTTACCTCCTTTCTTTGGTGATGGACTAATGTATAAAAATAGGCAGGTGCCATAAGAGAGGGAGATGACAATCATGTGAGAAGAGCAAGTAGAAAAGGCTTTTGTCCTTTGCTGGGCAGAAGGTATCCTCAGAATGGTCCTGATGATGTATGTGTAAGAAAATATCACTAGCACCAGAGTAACCACCAGAGTCAAAATAGCTAAGAAAATGACTATCAGTTCTAAGTGGCTTGTGTCTGAGCAGGCAATCTTCACAAGGGGTCTATAGTCACAGTAATATTGATTCAATACATTGGAGGCACAGAAATCAATCTGACTTACTAAGATGACTGGTGGTAAGATAGACAGGACTCCTCCCATCCAGGAGAACAGCACGAGTTGTATGCAGACCTTGCTGCTCATGATGGTCAAGTAATGCAGGGGTTTACAGATGGCTACATAGCGGTCATAGGACATAGAGGCCAAGAAGTAAAACTCTGTTGCCCCAAGAAGTATAGCAAAAAAATACTGAGTCAAGCATCCAGCAAAGCTGATGACCTTATTTCCTGTTACCAAGCTGGTCAGCAATCTGGGAATGAAAATGGATGTGAAGGAAATTTCTAAGAAGGAAAAATTCCGGAGGAAGAAATACATTGGGGTCTTTAGGTGGGGATCTACCAGAGTGAGTATGATGATGGTCAGATTTCCTAAGACACTCAATATGTAGGCAAGTAAAAGGAAGATGAATAACACCACTTGGAGTTGAGGTTGACTTGTGAGGCCCAGCAGGATAAATTCAGTAAGTGTCCAGTTTTTCATTGTTGGCCTTTAGTATATCTAAAGGGAAAAGTGAGGGTGTTGTTGTTGTTATGTGCTGCTAAATTGATTTCTACTCATAAAATAAAATAGCCACATAGGATTTTCTAGGATTTAATGTGTATGGGTACAGAGCACCAGGTCTTTCTGATATTTATATGTTTGTACCAACCTGTGATATTTGGCTATATCACTGCATTTTCTTCCAGAATTTCACAATAATTTACTTTCATTGTCCATGTGTACAGAATAACAACAACACTGATTTTGGAAAATGTTAACAAAATGCTCATAACCTTCACAATTTGAGAGACCACAGTGGTTTTACTTTTTGATTCTAAGAGATTAATCAAAGGTGAGATGTCACATGAGCGTCTCTAAATTGTAAAAATCAAATTTCTAAATATTATCTGACCACCATGCTCTTTCACAGGTGCACCCAACCTTACATCCATGAAAGTAGATTATTCATTTTTTTCTATGAATTCAAATCAAACTAGAGTTAAATCTAAGTTACTGAGGGAAAGAAAGAGAGAAAGTCTATCTGAGAGGAGCAAAAAGGGAAAACAAAACAAAATTTAAAGTAGCATTGATAGACTTAAAAGAGAGTACTTTGACAGACTGGAGTCTTGGTGTGGAACTATGGGATAAAGCACTGGACTGCAAGGTCATTTGAGCCACAAGATTGGCAGTTCGAATTCACCAGCTGCTCCTTGGAAACCCTATACAGGGTTGCTATGAGTCGGAACTGACTCAACGGCACTTACCAAAAACAACAACAATGACTTTGATAGACTGAAAATCTCTTATGCTTCATAATCTATGATAAATTATTTTGGTGACCTTAAAGGCAAGAAGATGGACTTCTTTGTAGATTTTTTGTTGAGTAGAATGACCCAGATTTTATCTGCTCCCTTTAGAGCAGTAATGTGGGAATCAGTTTCCAGAACAATAGAAAGATTCCCATGAATGAAAGTTCAGGAAGTGATAATGAACCTCAATCGTTGACAGCTTTGTGTACAAGCAGTGAACATATGTGTGGGGGAAGACCTAGAGAGACCATGTTGAAGGTGCAATGAAAGAATTAGCCACTGCCTAAGAGTTTGAGGAGACTCAGAGACCAATGGGGTGACACTTCTGTGGATAGTTAGAAAAATGATCACTTGGTCAATATTAAGACATGCTTCTGCATTGGTGACAAAATTTGAGAGTCATTGATAAATCCCACATTCTGAAAACATTTCATCAACTAATCTTCTAAAACTCCTACTTTTCTAAAGTATGTATTATAATAGTCCTTTTACTTGTAGATAGGTGGATGATCAAGAAACACTACTTGCAAATTCTTCAGAAATCAATTCAACATTCAGATTGTGATTAAATTATCCGTATATTGTTGCTGTTGTTAAGTGCCATTGAGTTGATTCCAACTCATAGCGATCCCGTATAGGATTTCCAAGGAGTTCCTGGTGCGTTTAAACTGAAAACTTTGCAGTTGGTAGTCCAGTGCTTATCCTACAGTGCCACTCCAGGACTCCATCTCTTACCTATCTCCAAATAAAAACTTGTATCATTTCATTATCCACCATTTTCTGTCCACTTCTTTATCCTTGGTCACCACCTGGCATTACAAGAATGAAGTACAAAGATCATTCTTGAAGAAGGAGGAAACATAATGTAACTGACAGCTTTCTGCTTAGTTTTAAACAAGAGCCAAGCGTGTTAAACGTATGCCCTTATTTCATCATCCTAGTAATCTTTTGGAGTCCTGGTGTGTTGCTGTAGGATAAAGCATTGGACAGCAAAGTTGGGTTGTCTTAACATTTATCTGCATTTGTCTTAACATTTATACATGAGAAAACTTCATTAGGTTTAATTGCTTACGTTTATCATTTTTTTTCACTGAAATATGAATCCTTAAGCAATGTAGTTTACTGTTTCCTGTTTTTTGAACTTTATGAAAATAGAATTGCATTGCATGTTTTCTTTCCTGACTTGTTCATTTTTTAAACTGCATATTTAATATCCATGTTGCTTTTTGTGGATGTGGGCTATCCATTTTCATTAAGTGCTGTTAAGTTGATTCGGACTCACAGTGACCCCGGTTAGGGTTTCTGAGAAGTGGCTGGTGAGTTTGAATTGCTGACCTTGTGTGGTTCAGTGCTTTTCCTACAGTGCCACACCAGGACTCCATCAATTGAACTACTTTGAAATCAGTTTAGTAAAATTGAAGTTATACATATTCAGTAACCCAGCAATTTCAGTCCTAGATTTACTTCAGAGAAAATTTGGAGATGTGTAGCTATACAGCTTTACATTTTATAATTTCCAACAATGGAAAAACTTCTTACCAACTATATGAGTAAATAAATTTTGGTGAATTCATAAGTGGAGTTCCGTTTTGGTAGTATAAGTTGCAAATATCATCTCCTACTTTTCACTGTTTTGCTCTTTTCTTTAGAAACAGAGATCTTAATTTATCAATTAATCAAGTAGATAAAGTAGTCAAATTTATCAAAATTTTTTTTGTGTCTTTTAAAGAAATTTTCTCTATCCCAAGGTCATGATAACATTCTCCTATATTACCTTCTTAAAACTTAATGCTTTATGTCTATAAAACATCTGGGTTTTATTTCTGCTAAATCAATATACAATTTCATATTTTAAAAATATGAGCATGAAATAGTCTTAACACCATTTCTTGAGAAGATAGTCTTTCCCCCATTGTAATGATATCAAGGACCCAAATATGTATGGGTCAGTCTATGGGTTGAATCTTTTTTATTGGTATTTTTATGTATTCCTGTGCCAATCCTATGATATTATAATGAACATACTTTTAGAATAATAGTTGACTTCTTCAAGAACAAATCCTCTCAATTTATTGTTTTTCTTTTAGTGAGTATTAGGTATTTTTAGTCAATTGTGACTCACCAGAAATTTTGTTTATTGATTATAAAAAAATTTATTAGAATTTTTATTGGGATTGCATTGAATTATAGTAGACTTGTGATTGATATCCTATAAACATTGAGTTTCTCAGCCTATAAATATAGTATACTTCTCAAGGAATTTGAATCTTTAAAATAACTTTTAATAAAATTATATGTAAGTCTTGTGTGAATTTTGTTAATTGCTACTTGATTTTAAAGTGGTATCTCCTTTTCAGTTTCATGTCCTACTGGGTTGATATTGACATAAAGTCAAGCAGGTGATTTTGCATGTTGATGTTTTATAGAATGACTTTGCTTTATATTGCATCCAAAGGTTTAAAATTTTCATATTCTATTGTTGGATTTAAAATATTTATCTCCAGTAATTTTATCCTGAATGCACCCATGAGATATAATAGACTTGAGGCAGATTTCTTATTACCTCACAGTAAATAGTAGCTGCGTTGCACCCCCTTACTCAAAGTCTTACTCTGGGGTGACATGATGAGAGCGAGTTCAAGCTTCATATGTGAGTAGCTGGATGCCCCATAGAGGAAGAATGAGGAAAATGATTTTTCTCTCCTTATAAAGGGAAAAAAGGCAGCTGTATCCCCACCCCCCTTTTGGAAAAAATTCCTCTTACTCCAGCTCTTTGGTATGTAAACAAAATCTCTCCAGAGACATATAGCCCCAGGCTATCTCAGTTTTTACAACACAGAGATGTCTCCAAGTTCTTAGGCTTTAATTTCTCTTTGGACTTTAAATTCTCAAGGAGATGGCCACAAGTGTTCTTGGAACCTTGGGGATTTATCCTGGGAAGCTAGTCCAGGGCTGTATCATTTGGTCCTCTAGGGGAATAAAAGAAATTTTATTATGTGTCCTGATCACAGCAATTAGCTATGCAAAGACTATAGGCTTAATTGTCATGGCATGTGAGTAATTTTAGGAGTACAGAGCTTTTTATGGCAATACAGAAATCTATAAAAGTTTGATTTCCTCATGTTTCTCTCTGTTGAACTTCAATGTATACATTTTATTTATTAAAAATAACAATTTTGACTCTTCCTTTATGATATTTTTTCCCTTCCTGTTTTATTGCAAGAAAGTTAAAAAACAAAAACAAAACACAACCAGATTAAGGCCATTCACTCTGATTCATTTACTTTAAACTTTTAAATAGATTTTATTATTTAGAACACTTTTAGGTTTATAGAAAATTTAAAAAGAATGTTCAGAGAGCTCCTTTATATTCTACAAGGGTGAATAAAAAATTATCTGCACTCTGGTTATATTAAAACACCTGACCACATCCAAGGCTAATGACTGTATTGAGCATGTACGTGAAATGATTCTGTCAAATAGATGGGTGACAGTGAATTATGTGGCAAATCACTTGCAAATCAGTCAAGCTCTGCCTACGAAATAATCCACAACAGACTTGGGTTTAGAAAAATTTGGGTGAGATGGGTATCGAAACAACTCACCAAAGAACATTAATAGTATTTGGACATCTGCGAACAAAATTTGGACAGATACTGAAAGGAAGGTAAAAACTTCTTTAGAAATATCATTACTGGTAATGAGACAGATTAATCACTACAAGCCTGAGATTAGATGGCAGAGTACGGAATGGAAACATTCTCAATTGTTGACCAAGAAAAAGTTAAAAAGTCAACCATCAGCTGGAAAATTGATGCTTACAGTTTTCTGGGATTACCAAGGGCCAGTACTGGAACACTATCAGGAAAAATGTTCAACAATCAACAGTGCTTTCTACAGTGAGATGCTCACTGAAGAGCTGAAGCCTAAATTTCAGATTAAATGTGGAAGACTTGTATTCAAGGATATTGTGATCTTGCATGACAATGCATGTCTACACATCTTGGCCCACACTGTTGGCCTCTGAGAAAAACTTTGTTTTGAGGTGTTAAAGCATCTTCCCTGTTGTCCTGATCTTGCTCCATTGGACTTTTGCATGTTAGGTCCTTTGAAAGCAGTTCTTTGAGGATGAAGATTCACCTCTGGTGAAGAAGTGAAGACAGTGGTGCATTTGTGGCTCAGCTCAGCCTA